CTGGATGAGACACAGAGCAGAGGATTACAGGTTTTTATTTTTCAAACATTCCCCCCTAGTCTAGCACATTCTACAGTCTTGCTAGCACAGATGGTAACAAAGAGCCTGTAATGGTTCAGAAGTTACACTGCTACAGAGAGCAAACAAAAGCAGAGGTTTATTTTCTAAAAAAATTTATTGTGAGAAATGGGTGAAAGAGTGCAGAGGGGATGGGGTAGAAACTATGTCAGCTAGTGGTGCCTGCCCTGTGTGCAGCAGACATCTGTGCTAGCAGTGCAGAAACTCTTCCTGGGGTCGCACCAGGTGAAGACTCCACTGTGCTGGAAGCATCATTTCACAGAACCACCCCCATTGCCTTATGAAGAAGGCTCCTTTCAGGACAAGTCACCTATCTTCTATGTAGCCAAACCTCTCAAGACACCTTGGGGAGCCCCACACCACCAGCTGTGGACATCCTGTTCTACCACGCGCCATAACACTGCCTTAGCCAGAGGACCAGAAATGCAACACCACCAGCTTTTTCACCTTCAGCTTCTGCTGCCTCTTCTCCCTGCTTTACACCACAGCATTAGCTGTGATTTTGACCGACCAGAGATTGTTTTCCATCAGCTGCAGACACATCAGGATGCAGGGAAAGACAGAAAGGCTGGTGAAGAGAGGAGATCCCTTTCCTAAAGGCCGAGCACTGTGGTGATGGGTTACCACACACTACCAAGCTTCCACATGGACACATATTTCAGGCTTCAGAAGTCACCTCTTGCTTGCTTTTCCCCACATTAATTAGAACATGTTTTTCATTAGACATGCAACTGAGGCAAACCCTAAGCTATCCCTGCTCATGCTCATGTCCCAGAGTTGATTGATTTGGGTGGGGTTTTTTTTATAATGGGTCCAAGCTTTCACATTTTGGTGGCACTCCAGGACACCACTTCCAAGGCACTCCTACCCATGGCACCAGACACAGGTTCCTCAATCCTGGAGCAAGGCTAGCCCTGAAGCATTTGAGTGTGGCTATAAATAAGCAACTAAGTAAGAAAATTAACAAATTATGATCTACATAAAAGCTTTCTAGGCATTTCCTTTGGAAAAGCTGATTAGTGCTACTTTGCTTCTATTATGACTCTTGTTTATGAATACACCCAGGCTCTGGAATGCTTCGTTCCTTTCACCAGGATGACTCTCGACTGCTTCTTTTAAAGCAGCACAGGGTAAGGATGACATGTTTTTAGACACATCAACAAGGAAAATTAAGGGCTCCAAGAAGCTTTCAATATTCCAAGCTCTCACATGAAGCTGGGAGCATAGTAAAATATGCTTAAATTATAAAGAAAGCTCAAGCAATTTGCTAAACCCAGGTGTAAATAAAAGCAACAAGTCTGCCTCCTACTAAGCTCCATGGGTTTAGTTACCCAAATCCTTCGTGGCCCTGAGCTGCATGGTGGCTTCACACTGTGAAAGATGGCATTTGATCCTCTGAAGATGGAGAAACTTGTTACCTGAGCTCAGTGAGGACAAGGAACACAGCACAAAGTAAGGCTTCATGCCAAGAGTTCCCTGCCCACTCCGCTCAGGTACTTCTGCAGAAGCATCATTCCCATGTCACTGGCCCCTTCCCGATCCACCCAGCTCACAGCTGCTCTCAAAATCCCACTCCAATCCTTCCTTAGAGCAAAAACTAACCCCCCAGTGTGGTGCCTGCAGTGCTAATGCAGAATGAAGAGCCACCAAGACATTATCCCACCTCCGGCAGCAGCCAGTAGCAAACACTTTTGAGCAAGAATACGAAAAAAATGGACAAATTTTGGGCAACCCCTTGCCGGGTATAGCCTTTCAGCAAGCAGCAGTTTAGGAACTTTAAAGTCTCCTGTGTCCTATGAGGAAATACCCCAGGCAAGAAAAGCTCGAGGTTTATGAAAATGAACTTAGTTAAGAAGTGTTTGTAGAACTCCTGAATTCTCTTCTTCCCTGCCCTCTGTGCCCACCATACAAGCTATCCTGCTAAAAACATAAAAGAGAAGGTAAGTTGCCTGCTTGACCCTGCAACATTACATTCATTGTTTACTGAGCACTCCGTGAGTCTTCTGAACACCAACCTCAGCACTAGAGCACTCTCAGGCTTCTTCAACCACTGACAGCTCCTGCTGTGTTGAGGAGATAGAAAGCACCTGCATGGACTTTCTGCAAGGCAGAAACATCACTGTCAGCACCCTGGTACAGCAGGACTCCAGCCAGAGGTGCTCCCGTCTCCAGTGCTGTCCCCAGGGACAGGTGATTCCCCAGAAGTCTGGCCTGGGAGTATGGAAAAAAAATAGATAGTGCTCTATTCCTTAATCAAAGGACAGGATCTCTTGTTAACTCACACTGTAGGGCACAGACCATGATGAGCCTTGGTCTTGCATCTCCTTCAGCTGGAACAGGTCGAGGACATGTAATAGCTGGGATCGTGTCAGATCTCCCTGGGGTGCTACCTGAGTGCTCAGGGCCAGGTCTGAAGCATTGGCTACTAATTTTGTCCTTCCTATCACATTGGGTTCCATTTTCATGGGAAATGAGCCAGAGTTTCACATTTAACATGACCACACACAGCAGTGTCCTGTCCTTTGATACATGGCTGTGAAGCATGAGCAGCTATTCCACTTGCTCTGTAGCTCATGGGATCAACTTCCCCCCCCAGGACCCAAGTTGACAAGGCAGCATATTATGTGCCAAGTGACATAAATCCTTCCAGCTCTATTAGCTGCAGCTCAGAATGGCTGATTCTTATGCATGGCACATGCCATCAGGTGTTTGTGGAAAGGGTTTGTATCCATTTGTGTAACGAACTAACTCCAGTGAGAATGTGCATCCACCACTCAAGTCTGCAAGACCTGGAATCCCAGCTTAGGAACTGCCTTTTTGTTTGTTTGTTACAATGAGGTGTGGCCAGACATGTAGATTGTGGGTAAATTTGAAACATCACTGGGAGGTCTGCCATGGAGGAAGCCTTCAAAGCAAAGGTTATCAAACTATTCAAAGGCTCTGATGGCAGAGCATGCTGAAGATAAGACTTCTGAAGACTCCTTGCTGCAGGTAACCAGGCAACCACTCCTATTCCAATCTCCACTCAAATGAAAATGAAGCCCATGAAAACAGAGCAGACAAGCTGGTAAAACAGTATGGGCTCACTGCACTGCATGATACAAACTTTCTGAACTGAAGCCACCTTCAGAAAGGACTAGAGTGTCTTTCTGCCAGGCTAGGCCTATCAGAACATCATGAAAGCACCATGTTTCCCACAGATCCTGCCACTGCAAACACCAAAGCAGTGACAGGAAAATGTCAGCTAATGCTCTGAACTAATCTTTTGACCCCCAACTTCTGTTCTGCAAGAACACAGAGCCAAGATCCCAGGCACACCCCTGAGGGTGAGCCTACAGGCTTCAAGCTCCCCAGCAGTAACAGCAACTTCAGCAAGAAAACAAAAACCCTCAGAAACCAACAAGTGAGCTATCAAATACAATTGATCACACCCTCCAGAAGGGCTATACGGAGTGTCAGCAGATCCAGCATGATCCAGTCCACACCATCTCCTTAGCAGACTGGGGAATCTGTGCTATGTATCAGCTGCAGGCCAGCTATTTAAGGGATTAGCTGAGAACGAGCTGTTAATGATTAGCATTCCCTCACGTCGTGCTCTTGGCTTGGCAGGAGTGCCCAGGGAGGCAAACACTGAGCAGCTGTGGCTGAATGCCATGCCAGGCACCTTCCCTCTGCCTGTTCTGGGGAGTGCAGCCATTCCCCAGTCACACTGCAGTGCCCTTCCCACCTTTCCAGTAACATTTTCAGCTTCTTGGCCCAAAATGCCTTAGGCCTGCCCCCTCCCATACTGTAGTGTTATCTGGTATCAAGGGGACAGGTGCAGCAAATGTGTTTTGTTTCTTTTTATCCAATAATCTCATTTTTCAATTAAAATATATAATATATATTCAAAAAGGTTTAGAAAAGCTTCTATGTAATTTGCACCTACTTTTACATATAGATTACAATAATGTACAACTCTTCCCCAAGGTGGTTTGAAACCACGGGGACCTGCCAATTCTTTTCCCTCAATCATTTACATCATCAAACATCAAATGTGTTTGTTCCTAATACAGCCCTGAAAAAGAAGTCTGTCTCTGTTGCCTTCTCAGACGGAGAGATGCATAATAGGGACACACATTACATTGGCTTCATATTCGCTGTAGAAAGTTCCCAGATTAGTAAAAAAATATTTCATCTATAGAAAATGCCCTTCTGAAAAGCAACCAGGGCTCTGTTAAGGCCACACCCAGGCTTTCCATTTCGCTGCTGTAGCAAGACAGATCAAAAAACAAACTCAAAATGATGTTTTTATGTCCCAGGAACAGCTACTAGCACCTGTGCTTATTTTACAGCAGCCTGGTGTATCAGGAAAGTGCTGAGAACAGCATAGGGACTTCTCAAAACATGCTTCTGATTCAATGGGGCTCAGTTGGCACAGTGAAAAACTCAGTGTCCTCCTGTTCCACCCAGGTGGACAACAGGAAGCCTTCTATACCACAACCACCCCTCCCTGCAGAACGACGATGGATGCTCCCGTGACGGGCACACTGAAGCCAACCCCTGAAACAGCACACCCTTTTCCCACAGGGCTTCCACCAACAAGCTCCCTCTGATTCCTCTGTGAGCCTGTGGGATACCAAGTGCACATCTGGTGGCTTAATCAAGAAGTCCAACTACTTTGCCCCACGGGCAAGCCAAGCGAGAGCAGAGCCAGCCCTCCACCAGTCCGAGGCACTGGGAGACTTTCTGCCATAGCAGAGAGAGGACAGTCAGTGAGGGATTCCTCCAGCAAACCCAACTCATCACACAGGAAAACACTATTGCCTGGCACAGAGTCTTCTGGCCGAGGTTTTTACCAGGGCTCCTCTTTGGACATGGGCTTCTCCAGATGGTCCAAGGCAGGGTCAGGTTTGTAGGAAGAGCCATGGCACATAACAGGATTATTATTTTTAAACTCTTCCTGTTGCAGCCAGATGCAGGTTGCCCCTTCTTCCCAGATGGGCAGCCCCTTCTGCCCAAGGCATGATGTGCAGGGAAACTGAATCCAACGTGCTCCATTCTCTTCTCTGCTGGGGTGGGAAGTGAAGTCAGAACCCAATGTTCAAAACCTGAAGGACACTAGGAAGAAGAAAAATACAGTGACTGGTTAGATCTCGGCTTCAGTGGGAATCCTAGATGCACAGATAAGGAGTTAATTACTACCAATCTGCCCCTACAGAACAAACAAGAGACCTTGACCAACAGAGAGTCAAGTGGAGGATCCAACTGCTCAGCTCCAAGCTTCAGAGTGTGACTAAAACAAGAATAAAACCAAACCACAAAGGTAAAAGTAAGCACTCCTCCTGTAAGGTGACAGCACCAACAAAGCTCTGCAAGATAAGGAAGCTTAAAGAAGGACCTGGCTAACACCAGAGGCATTGCAGGAAAGCAGCAAGGAAGAGTAAAATTACTTTTCACCTTGAACAAACACAAATATCAATTGGTAGGGAAAAGACTAAAAAAGAGATTTTTAGAGATCACACACTAAAACTGTTTATGCTCACCCATTTAAAGAAATCCTGTATCTATCTGCAAGTAATTAAACATTTTTAGATATCTCAATCCCCCAAAAGTCTAAAGATTCCTTCTCAGGTCTTCTGTCTCACCTCAATAAAACTGTCACAACTCATTCAAACAAGCCTTGGAATATGTCTAAGCAGACTTAAGACACTGACATAAAACCTCCACAGTAGGTCTGTGATCCACTTTGGAAGGCAGAATAGAGAGATAAATGTAGGGCATCCCCTCAGCTGGATTCAGTGATAGTGAGCATGAAAAACTCATAAAAAGGGGAAAAAAAACTACAAGAGGGAATCAGCCCTGATCAAGAAAAGACAGTAACTTAGAAGTCAGAGCAACGGCTACTTTAGGAAATTACAAGGTGATGAGGGTTTTATTGATTTAATAATGTTCTGGCTGATAAAAATCCAGTGTCTGGACCAAAGGGAATTAGACAGAGCACAGCAAGAAAAGCCCAAAGTCCCTGAGCTGCTCAGAGACAGTCGGGTGGCCACCCACACTTCTCATGACTGGAATGGAGGGCACTTACATTAAGTGCTGAAGGCACGAGTGGTTGCCAGTGACTGAGCACCTGCATGCCATGGTCTAATTCCAGCTGTAGCTATTCTTTTCCCATGACCTTGCTCACTAAGGCTCCCCTAAGTCACTCTGGCTTTGCACATCTAGTACCCTAACCAGTGAACTACAGGTTTACAACTGAGCTGCAGCTACCAGACAACAGAAATCGCAGAATTCATGTTTTCCTACTCAAGGAAAGTGTTCATGTGCTGACTTTCTCCCTCTGCAGCAAACAGCTCGGTCTGTGGGTGTTGTGTTGCTGCTGGGCAGAGGCAAAGTTTCAATGTTTGATCTCTAATCTCCAAGTAAACACAAACAGGCAGAGTTCAAAGATACTCCTGGAGAAGCTGTGGACAAGCTCTTTTGGCATTTAACTTGCAAGAAGGTGATAAAGTCATGATAGCTTTGACCACCACGGGTAACACCAACTAGTTCATGTCCTCCCCAGTGCTGCAGAGAGACTAAGCATTTATTCCTAAAGATTTTCCCTTGCCTACAAAGAGAAGTATTTCCCCAGTTCGGTTTCATTCCAGCTGTTCAAATCAGTGTGATCACTGTCATTTATTGATGAACAGTTTTCACTCAGCATTATACCATAAGTGACCCAAAAGGCAACAAGTTAAGCCCACAGGAACTACTCAGGACAACTTCAGGTTAGTGATCATGTAGAGTACCTTTTGCCAGTGTGAATTTAACATGGAAAAAACACATTTATAGTAAGGATACAAAAGGAAAAAAGTCTGTCACACTAGAGCAATATATAGTGGCAGTCATGCTTTCCCTGAACAGTGATTTCCAAACAGGGACCCTAGGAACTCACTGCAGTAAGGGAGAAATGACACAGTCTTGACCTCCTCACAGACACTGATGCCTGCAGCTCCAAAACTTGGGTTTGGAACTCGTTAATTTGAGAAAACACTCTGCCTTCTTTTCCCAGGAACACTCCTATTTCTCTCCACATGTGCCCTGTTCCCCCTTCGTTAGAAGCCTGATCCACCCCTCTGTCTTGTCAGCGTTCTGCACAATCCTTGCCCTCCTTTGGGGAAGAAGCTCCCCTTCATCCCACTCCATGGATTCCAGCATGCAGGCAAAAGGGAAAAGCTTTGCAAAGCTCAGAAAAGGCAAACATTATCTAAGGAGAAAATAAAAGGCTTGAAGCAGGGTGTCACCTCTCCTCCCGGTGCTGTGAGCAGAGCACCGAGGGGCACGTGGGAGCTACGCTCTCTGCTCAAACACAATAGTGCTTCAGAACCTGTTCCAGATCTCACTCCTTTAGTGAGCACATGTCCAGCATATTTCCCAGAAAGTATCACTTCATGTGTAGAACAAAGCAAATCCAGAGGTTTTAACATCTCATAGCTTCCCTGTTTTGATTAAGGAATTCATATAGAGTAATAATATGGAACAAGAACATCACCATGTTGTTATGAGCTCGTGTTCTCCCTCTTAAGCATTTGATTACATCCACGTCTTCAACAGTTCTAGAACCTATCCTTTGATAAACTGTCCCTCAGCTTCTTTGCTTTACACTCCTAAAAAAATAATCTACACCTGGTATTCATTCTGTAGGGAGAGGTCTTGTGTACCCAGCCCAGGAGTGCAGGACAGCTTATATGTGTTTTAAAAACACTCATGTGAAAAACATTTTGTCCCTGAAAAGTCAATGTATTCCCCAAGTATAATGGCCTGCCCTAGCATGGCATAAAACCAAACAAAACACTGAACCCTACCAAACAAACAAAAAAACCCCACAACACAAAAGCTCAGAACAATATCCAGTGGAAACACTTCAAAAGGCCACAGCCTCTGTCACTAACTTGCAAACAGTCCTAACAGAGATGAAGGACAGGGTTAGGGGTTGAATTTACAACACTAACAAATACCATATCTGCCTCCTAGAAAGGAAATATTCTTGGCAAGGCTTCCACTTTCCAACCAACATCCAACCTATGGTCCAGTTTGTCCATTTTCTGTTAGCTAACCAAGATCCAAGTGTGAAGTATGCCTTCACCTCCAGTTTCCTAATTCTTCTACTGCCACTGTGGTTAAAATGCTTCAAACCAGGGTGTCATACCCTCAGAAAACAACGTATTTTCAACTCTGGTTCTCATACACACTATTTGCAAAACCGACTCTATTTGCACAAATATGACAAATTGCTGAAGAGGCAGCTTTGCTGTGGATGGGACAGCACTAACACATCCCTCCTTCCATCTCCATCCACACCACAGACTCCTGTTTCCCATTCCAATAATGGGTACATGAGCAATTCAGCAGTTAATGCTGCTGAAGCAGCTTACCAGACCTTACAGACACTATCCCAGCTAAGGGCAGGGCAGAAGGTGTGATAACAGAGGGATTGTGTCCTGCTACACACAGAGTAAAGCAAGCAATCATGACACAGACATGCTTTGCTACTGCACATATTAGGAAATTTTGCAAGGATAATAATAACCTGAGTAGAAACACAGCTTGTGCTTGGCTCAGTTCAACTGTTCTACACATATAGGACCATGTCTTTATTTATGGAATCAGCACATGCTCCCATGTTAACTGCAGAGCTGTAGGCACTGCCTGGCAGACCGATGTCCTGTGCTGCAGTCATCCTGGGGGACAGGAGACAACAGGAGTTTCATTCAGGTTGCTGTTCTATTTCATAAAGGAGACAATTACCTGGGAAGTTAAATCCACCTACCATCACACAGCTTTTGCCCCTAAAAGGGAACGTGGCTCTTTACCAAGAGCTTTTTTTCCTCAAAGGGCACCTGCACTTCCAGAGAGGTACCTTTAACTGCTGCAGAGTTGGGCACAGGAGCCATCCCAGACAGGGCTATAGAGCTGTAGCATTTTACACAGCTGCACCTACCTTTTTGTGCTCCTGAAGTTAACTTGGTACCCAGGTATGGTTGGAGGCCTGTGAGGTGCTGGGATAGCTAGGAGTAGGCAGAATGGGTTCAAAATTAAAGTCCAGTCCTTCTCCATCCATGAGTTCACTGTTGATTATGTAATCCATATCACATTCAAGGTTCTCCATGTACATGTCAATGTCCAGGTCAGTGGGCAGCCTGTCCTGGTTCAATCCCAAGGGAGCAGGGCTAGCAGACGAAAGAAGCACTGGACTGCCCAGCTGGACTGGCTGGGCAGAAACTGGAGCCTTCAAACTGGTGATGCTGGCAGTGTTTTGAGGAGATGTGACTATGGGAAGCGTCGATGGTAAAACACTGGCACCGACTGGTTCTGCCTGCTGCTCTGCAGGCTTTCCTCGTGGATTGCCTGAGCTCATCTTACTCTGGGCAGCTTGTCCACCCAGAAGCAGAAGAGTTCGGCTGCTCATCCTGTTACCAGTCTGTGGGAGAACTGGATCCACCTGAGTCATCATAACATCCCTTGGAGGCGGAGAGCTGGGTGTCAGGAGAGCTTCCAAGGTCTGAGGGGCAGAGAAATGGCTGACAGAACTCTGCAGTGAAATATCAACAGGGTTAAACAGGGAATTGCCAAAAGTCTGACCAGCTGCATTTGGGCTCTGCAAGGAAAAGCTGGAATCTCTCTGGATCTGACCACTGGAGGCAGATTGCTGGGTAGACAGAACAGATGAGCTGGGAGACATCAAATTTAACCCATCAATGAGCTCAAGCTCCTCGGTCACAGTTGGTGGAACGTTGCTGGATGCACTGGAGTACACCAGAGAAGGAAGCAGCTCTTCATCATGGAGGTCATCCTGCTCTGTCAGGATAGGAGAAAGCCTGGCACTGATGGTGCTTGCATTGGAACTGGTTCGAGGCCGGAAGGTGTTCCACACGTCAGAGTCCTCATTGCTTCTTGAGGACGGGCTCCCAGGCCACTTGGGAAATTGGGAGCCAGGACTGTCAGCAGAGGATTCTGGTGCAGACTGGAGAGGAGGCTTCTTCCTGGATGCTTTACCTCTGACTTTTGCGAGTTTGCTGCTGTTGTCCATGGAGGCAGCTCTTCTTCTTGGTGCTTTTCCACTTTTACCACCCTCAGGATTGAGCATCCACCAGGAGCTCTTCCCTGTGGCTTCATTATGGACTTTAATAAACTTGCTGTGCAGGGACAGGTTATGTCGAATGGAGTTCTGAAAAAAAACAAATATAAAAACCACAGGTAGTGAGGACCTGACAGTTGACACACCTCCCACCTAGAAATCTCACAAGCACAAATGCATTCAGACAGTATCCAGAGAAGAAAGTTATAACAAAGGCCTACCCATAATAACCTGGTATTTCTGTCTGAACATGCTTGGCAGCACCAGCAAGCAGTGCCATGTCTCACTGCAATGCCAAGGGTGAAACTACCATGACAACTAGCAGCTTTCAACCAGCAAAATACTAACACAAGGGATCTTTAAAGGCCATACAGAATCTGCAAAAAGTAAGCACATCACAGAGCAAGTAAGCAAATTCTCAAATACTGCTTGCAATTTCAACATGAGCCTAATTGAATTTGAGCTAATGCTGCTCCCATCCTTTGACAGCCCCTTTACCCAGCATAAGCCTTGCTGAAGTTTTTAATGTTTATGTGGCCAGTTTTTAGTCAGATTCAAGCCCAGCATGGCAGTGAATCAAACAGACTGGGTGAAGAGAAATGGCAAAACACTTCTAATTCAGTAGACCCATTACCATCTCCACCCCAAAACCAGAGAAACGAGAGTGGAACTCTGAGGAACAAGTGCCCTAGTAATCCTGGAGACTGGCAGCCTCCCTCTGCAGGGAGGCAGTGCACTTCCCTCGGTGTGTGTTTCTGACAGGGTGAGATGTTCAGTGGATACTGCACTCCCACACAGTACATGCCAGTTTTAGCCTCTCCCATCTTTCCGCTTGGCAAGACACACATTCCTTGCCTCTCCCAGCTCCTTTCTTCTGGTTTAGCTTTGCTGAAAACTGCAAGCTAACATATCTGTACACCATCATAAAACTGAATTTTCATCCTGCAACTGATAAAACTCCCCAGCAACAGTTCCATTGGCTCAACAGATCCTCCACAAACTCCCCCCGAGGCCTGTGTCGTGCATTTGTTTGATATCTGCACCAAATCTGTTCAGATGGTCAAATTACAGATCATTAAAAGGTGCTGCACTGGTAGCACAACAGTGATCAAAGAGCTCCAAGAGCAACATCTTTTTCTTATAAACTAAAAGATACATAACAGCCTTCAGCTTTCATGCATACTCTCTTAATTCTGAACAAATTAACTGTGCTTTTATCATCCTTTTCCACCAACTCTCAACACAGTTCTTTCCTGTCTGCTGCTTTCCCTCTCCCCACCCTTTTCCTCTCGGAAAAGTCCTCACTATGCTAATTTTGGCTACCTCACCATAAGTACTATCCTAGAACAACGCAGATGTAGATAAACAATCCAGGCAAAGTGGAAAGTTTTCATGGAGAGGGAAGGAGATGTGAGAGTCATCCTGGTTTAGCTTCCATTTTAACCTTTGGCTGTTGAGCTTTTGGAGAAGACTGGCTGCTTGTTGCAACCAGTATCAAAGAATACATGAGTTCTTACTTGGAGAGTGACTGCAGAGCCAGGGCCTGATGGAACATGTGTCAGTCAGTGCTCTTACACAGTTTTATTATTTTGCCATCTTCTCTACACAAAGCTTTCCTTCCCTTCAAGCCTTGAAAGAAATAACTCAGGTTGGTATCTCATCTCCAGGAAGGCTGCTGCTTTCATTTCCAAAGAATCCCACCCCTTTTCCCAGGTAAATGTGCATAACTTTGAATGCCCACTGCTGCAGCAAGAAGAATCAATAGGTTGTCACCAATTCTTCGTTTATTCTCCTGAAAGTAACCTGTGAACTCATCACATTCTATCAGGAATGACCCAAGAGCCCACACACATAGGACACATTTGAAGTCTCATAACCACTTGGTTTTTAGTTAGAACTTTAAATCAATAGGTTCAGGATTTTAAATTTTCACAACTGATTTCTGTTTTCTTCTCATGCATGTCTGTAGCTAGGCTTTAACTGCTGTGTCAGCAAAAGCACACTGCACTGGTGGAAGCAACTCAGTAACACAAACCTCAAGAAAATTAGCACCACTTTGGGTATCATAAGGGACAAGTTTAGTAACTAATTTCTTGGGGGGTTTGGCTGAAAAGCAGCTTGAAATAAGACATACTGGAATAAGACTAGGATTAACATGAACAAAGAAATGTGAAACACAGTACCCTTTATGGAACAGTCTCAGTGCTTTTACATGTTACTGCTAAACTGCCATAATGGCTCAGAGCTGAACAAAAAGATAATTGCTCTACTATTCCTTCCTTCCTCATCTTCAAACTCTCCTCCCTCCATAACACAAGCATCTGTGACCCTGTGTGCTAGTTCAGAGAGCAAACCCAACCAAAAAGCAGCCCTATCCTTCCTTGACAACTACTTTTCCTGCTTGTTTTATCTCTGCCTGTTTTTTGAACTGCCTCACTGTGGGGTTCAAGCACAGAAAACTAAGGAAGGGAACAGAATGTGTAATTGGAGGCAGAGCAAACTGCAGACTCGAGCCCAGAGTGTCCCAAAACACAACAGAATCAACTCACCTACCAGCCTGGGTGCTGCGAGACAGCACAGTCATTCCTGCTGGAATGATTTAATACACCTCCCATATGGAGGGCACCCTTTAAATCTCATTGAGAAAGCCAGGGGCAAATCAATTATGCTAAAATAATCACAGAACAGCAAGTCAAACCTGACAGGAGAGGAAATGACAGAGATCAGTCACCCAGGCAACCCTGGCATATTTCCTTTCTTGATATTAAGCAACTCAAACCAGAGACATACAGATGGCACGAACTTTTTGATGCTCAACTTCAGCAGTGTGGGAGGATCCCAGCTGGTCTGAGCACCTGCAAAACACACAAAGCCTTCACTCTGCAACTCTTTGATCATAAGGAAGCATGACCTGAAGATGCACAAGCAGGAATCCTTCAAATCCTAAGGAACCTCTTCAACCACTACTTAGGGGTGGGTTATTGCTATTTATTCAGGTATCTTACAGTGGCACTTATGGCTGTATGTTAAAGTACTGCTGTGAAAAAATGCCAGCCTGTGTCTCTAAATCCATTACAGATACAAAGATGATTCCTGTAAACGACATTCAGACAAAACCAGTCTGAAATTAAGGACAGATAGTATGCAAAAAAAACAAAGTTTGGCTAGAGATATTTATTGTACCCTGTAGGGTGGACCATTCACCAGGTCCCAACCCCTGTGTGTACAAACTAGGATATATGGACCAGGCACAGAAGTGTGCCTAGCAGCATACACAAACTGTTCTCTAAATCTCAGTTACCACAACATCGAATCTTCTTGATAAAAAGTCCTAGTTGCATTTAAAGGACAGGAAGACTTCTCAGCATCATACCAGGCCTGCCCCCACACCATCAGTGCTGCTGTGGATCCTGAATAGCACTGAATGGGACAGAGAATTAGCCACAGGAGCTGGAAGCACAAGCAAACCACTCTCCTGCCCAGTCAGCCTTCTGGACAACTGCCATGGACACCAAGATACCACAGAAAATGCTCAGGGGAAGTGACTATAGAAGACTGAAGGCCAGTGAAAGCCTTTCCAGGGGACTACACAGCTTAGTAGGTGAGGATGATGTTATCTACCATAAAACTGAAGTTTTACTCAGAGTGGGTCAGAACATTCAGGATGGTTTGCTCAGACTTTAAGGTTCCTCGCACTAAAGATGTCACCCTCCTGTGACATACTTTGGTTCCAGACACTGATGTGGCAGGAGCAGAAGGAGGCTCCTGTGCCCTGCCTGGCAGAGCAATGCAATGCCTGTGCTACCAGAGCACTCGGGGCCAAGCACAAGCTATGCTGAGAAAGACACAAGACAGAATAGCTATCCTTCCAGGAGACACAGTGGCTTCCATCCCTTCCTGGCCATTCTCCCAGGAGCAGTCAAGTTTATCCTACAAACCACAGAGGCACCAGATTTCTTAGCAAAAAGTTTCCCTCAGGAACAAGTGATAGAAATAATTCAAAAAAAAAAAAAAAAAGGAAAGATATGCAATCACTGCAGCCGCCTGTAATAAACTCTCACTGCCTTGGAGGCATACAAAGAACATGGTCTCATCCCAGAGCAGGGCCATGTTCCACAGCCAGGCCTGCAATTGTGCCGAATTATTCTTGGCCATGGCATTCTTGGGAGGCTGTGAGGGGAGGACGCTCCGCCTGCTGTATTTGTCAGTGCCTGTCTCAGCACTCACCCAGCCACTTGGCTCCAAGGGCTCCAGGAAAAAGTCTTCCTTGTAGAGATTTTGCACCAGCAAGTAAACAACTCCTCCAGAGCCAGGGAGTCAAAGCACTTCCCAGCAATCCCCTTCCAGAAGGCACACATGAGCACAGACGTCAAGCTCAGCAGACTGGGATCTCTATCTTAGGAAGAACATTTTCCTTTCTGCAATCTTTCAGTGGGAGGCCAGCAGATGATCACAGCTCTCTAAAAACCAAAGACCGAGGCGATTTACAAGTTTACAAGACAGGCAGCCACATACTAAAAAAGCTGTTCAGGATTAGGTAGAGCAGAAGAAACCTGTTGGAACAAGTAATACCAGCAGCCCAGGAGCAGCCATCTCTGAGGACTGCCTGGAAAATTCAGCTGTGCTGCAGGGAATAATCTTTCAGCAAAGCAGCTTTCCAGAACAAGCTGGTAGGGAGTAGGAAAGAGCAGCAACAAAATCTTAAAGTAATTTGAGTGGCACTGCATGAGGCAGATGGATTTTCAATAAAAGACAAGCTCTTCCCTACTTTTGAGGGGGACAGCTACACCCAACAAGGCTTCAAACAAAAAAAGAAACCCAAATCTTGTACTTCATACTCTTTCAGGGCTTACAAGAAGGACCTCTTAATGTCAACAGTGTTCCTCAGGTTTCCTTGCTGGACTCCTCAGTACAGCACCTGAACAACCATCATTTGGCCTCTGTTTGTTATCCCTCCCCACTTTAAGGAATCCCAGCCAGGCTGTCAGCAGCTGGGACAGAAAACATCTCCCTGCTGCCAGGGCTAAGCACATCACTGCCACCACATAAATGCATCTGGGGCCATGTGAGGTAATGGCAAGAGTCCAGCA